AAACCAGCGGCAGCACGGCACGCCGGGGGCATCCTGTGTGGCTGGAGTGTTCACACCTCACGTGCCCAGGAGGATGTAGCTGCTCAATAGTGCAGTGATTTCGCCCTTCGTTCCACGCCGAGAGTGTGCCCCCAAACGGGTGTGGGTCCCGAGACAGGACTCTGCTCGTCTCTTACCCTCTGCCCCTCGTGATGGGTGACCTCGCCGTGCTGAGTAGCCACCATAGAGCGAGGCCCTGCTGGTCGCATTGCAGGCACATGCGTTGCTCAGAAGGTGTGTCTGCAGGGCTTGATAGCATGGCCTTCCACCAGGAGCCGGGGATTTGGGGACTGGGGACCAGCATCCATGGCTGCTTGTCTACATCTCTTTTTGCACTTCCCAGCCTCACGCTGGGGCAGGTGTGGGTGCTGGCACATCAGTGAGTGTCAGGGTCTGGTCAGTCTTGGTCATTGGTGTTGAGCGAGGCAGCGGTGAGGGTGCCCTTCCTGCCCGCACTTGCCCACAGTCCTTCCTCACACCCAGCCTCCCGTGTAGGGTGTAGCCGTTTAGCTCACTGTTTCAGCGATGATGGCCGAACAAGTCGTCCCCAACTTACTATAAAACGAGCGTTTGTTGTCCACATGGGTCTCTGGGGGAGGGTTTGGGTGGGGCCCAGGGGGAGGCTGTCTCCGCCCCACAATGCCTGGTGTCAGCTGAAGGTGGGGCCTGGCGTCCGCCAAAAACTCGGGGCCTCCCGGATCTGCTTCCGGCCAGGCCTTCGCTGGGTTCTCCACCAGACTCCGCACATGGCCTGTCGCTGTGGCTCGAGCTTCCTCACAGCACGGGGGCTGGGTGGCAGGGAAAGCAATCTGCAAAGACATGTCACCTGTTATGATCTGGCTCTGGGAGTCAGGCTTGTCGTTTTTGCTGGGTTCTGTCCATTGAAGGACCCTCCAAGGCACACCCAGGTCCGAGGGAGAGAAGTGATAAATAGTCTCTTGGTGGCAGAGAGGCAAGGTCCCCAAAGGCCACACATACCCTCCGCCAGACCTGGGCCCAGCGAGGAGGTGGACAGGGATGTTTTGCCTCGCCTTTCAAGTTCTGGGGTAACAGGCAGATTCCCTGCAGCTCTGTCTGGCTGGTAACCGGTCCCGCCTGGTCCTCTGCAGACAGTGGAGTTTTCATTGGGTGGATAGAAACGTGTAAGTCTGCCCTCTCGTCAGCTGTCAGCTCTCAGTCTAGTTATAAACTAATTCTGTTCCCAGGACTCCAAGTGGGAGCCTTTTGGTGAAGCCATAAGCCCTCAGAGAGTATCCGCCCGGGTCACACTCAGGATGCTCTCATTCAGGGGCAGAAGCTGTCAGGCCAGCAACCAGAGGTGCACTCGGGGCCTGGTGGGCGCTCCACGGGCTGGAGAAGCAGCGCCGCGAGAGAGGCTGGGCGGACCTTCGGCCCCGGGCCCCGGAGCCTTGGGACCTCGGAGTCTGTGCCTTAGGCTTCTTCGTGTCTTTTTTATCTTAAAAAAATTTTTTTTACAAATGTTTAGATGTATTTTTCCTTATGATTTGAATTACTGTTTTACTAACTTTTTTTCTTCATTATGTTTTAGAGATGTGGAAAATACAACAAAGTATAGAGGAAAAAATAAACGTTTGCTATATTCCTGCCCCCCAAAATAACAATTGTTCCTATTTTAGTGCTTTGCCTGTTTGAGTATTTCCTCATCATTAAATAGTCTTGTATTAAAAATGATTTAATGGGCCTAGCCAGTGTGGCTCAGTTGGTTGGAGAGTCATTCTGTATACCACAATGTTGCAGGTTCGATTCCCAGTCAGGGCACACGTCCAGGATGTGGGTTGGGTCCCCGCCAGGGTGCAGGCAATTGATCGATATTTCTCCTCCTCTTGCCTCTGTCTCTAAAAGCAATGAAAGAATGTCCTCGAGTGAGGATAAAAAAATGATTTTAATGGTTAAATAGAAATCAAATGTGCCAGAATTTATTTTAACCGTTTTCCTTATTGTTGGACATTTATCTCCTGTTTCCAATACTTTCACTATAACTACTTTTGCATTAAAATGTTACATTTTTATTTAATGTGCATGGTAAACATTTTTTCATACTTAAAAGCTAAGTAGAAATGATTTAAATTTAAACATATACATTTTATTTTTGAGCGATTCCAGGATGTGGAATTATTGGATCATAAGATGTAAACAATTTCAAATTTCAAATTCAGACCACGTACCCTGAAATCACTTTTCAAACTCGCACAATCTGTACATAATTTTAAAAGAAAAATAGGCAGGGATGATATGTTTGGGGAGAAATGTGAAGTCCTGTTTTACATGATTTAATTCAGCTTTGATTTATATTGTGTTGGCCTTCAAATGAGGATCGAGTCATTTGATTCCATTTACGGATGTTTTAAACCCCGGCTCCGTGTTCTGATTCTCTGGGTTTTTTCTGTCTTTAAGTGTATTGTCAGCGCATGTACTTTCCCTGTAAAGACTGTTTCTCTGTCCTGTGTGACTTGTGGTTGCACCTTGTTGGTTCCCTCCAGATGTCCCTTCTCTCAGTGTCCCCTGTATGCCAAGCATGGCTGTGGCGTTGGTTACTCCTGGCACCTCGCCTCAGCCTCATGTGCCTCGTCTACTCGGTCATTCCACCGCTTTGAATGATAACTGATTACTTTTTAGAATCAGTGAAATAGGCGTGCCCGCGTGATGTTGATGGGCTTGACGTCTTCTCGTCTTCAATGCTGGGGCCGGTTACGAGCAGACCTTCACGCGTGCGTCCCACGCCTGCGTGTTCATTCTGTCCCTCTGTCCTCAGTGCTGTGTGTTGTCACGAGGTTTCTTTTCCTCTGTACGCACTTTACTTGCAGTGTATTTGAAGTCTCCAATATCTACAACACTTATGTATTGTTCCAATGAGCACCATTTTATTCTACTATGGTTGGTCATTCAGATATAAACTTGAAAGCATTCCGGAGTTACTAGAGTGAATGCTAAGTAATGTATCTGGATTTAATGGTCATTCATAGATTCTAATTCTAATGTTATATAACTTATGATCTCAAAGGAGTTTTATTGGTAAATATCACCACACCTGGGTGTTTTGTTGTGACTGTTGGGTAGTAATTATAGTTTTTGTAGTAACTCTGTAGTACAATTTGAATATATATCTTAATTATGTTCCTTATGCAAAATTCTTTTTGGTGCTCCTTCTAAGACTTTGCTATTACTTGGGAAAATACTACTTTTACACTTGGTTAAGTCTTCATTCTGAGCTCACTTTTTGCTGCTTATTTATTTATTCATCGTACTTTTCCGTGAGAGATCCTTGATATTTAACATTGTGTAAGTTTAAGGTGTACGACATGTTGATTCCATCCATTTATATATTGCGGTGTGATTACTATGGCAGCTCACACCTCTGTCATGTTCTTCTTTCTCTTTTTTTTGTGGTGAGAACGTTTAAGATCTAGTCTCTTAGCGTTTCTGAAGCATGTCATGTGGTCTTGTTGGCCATAATCACTATGCTGTACCTTGGGTCTCCAGAACTTACTCATCTTCCAGGTGCAAGTCTGTCCCCTTTAATGGCACCCCGGCCCCTGGGGACCGCCTTACTCTGATGCTGCAGGTTCAGCCTCTTCAGATTTCACATCTGACTGACATCATGCGCCATGTCTCTCTCTGTCTGGTTTCTCTAACTGAGCACAGGGTGCTTTTGTTCTTTCCCTTTATTCTGGGTGTCCCTATGTTTCTTCCTCATTTTCTTGACCTCGTTGGTGCTTTTCTTTGAAAAGTCAGTGGCCTTCCCTAGCCAGACCCTGCCCTTGAGGCCATGGCAGAGGAATGAGTGACCCTCAGCCTTGCCCTGGGGAGTTTACAGTCACTGACGTGACCCAGGTCAGAGCTGCTGCGCTGCAAGGCGAAGACGTGGTCTGGGGCCTTGTGGGCGAGGTGGGGTGTCAGACAAGTGCGGAGAACAGGGCGAAGCTGGGAACAGTGTGACTGACGGCAGGGGGCTCAGCGCCCCAGCTGGCGTGGTCAGGCTGCATTTACGAGAGTGGAGGGGACGCAACCAACGTGCGCGGGCCTGGTGCTAGCTGTGGAAGGGACCCGGCTCTGCCTGGCTTCATACAGGAGACTGACCTAGAGAAGGCGCTTTCCTGGCTCGTGCAGGGAGTGCCAGGGCTTGGTTCTTCGCTCCTGGAACCAGTGAATACCATGTGACTGCCGTGTGTCTCTCATTGTGCCAGGAGCTCTGGACCCAGCAGTGACCAAGATGTCATCGTGCCTCTTCTTAGGGGGCTTGACGTTTATCATCCTGGCTCCTGTGAGGGGTGGGGGGGTCATGCTCCAGTGAAGGAGAGAAAATTAACACCTACATATACAGTGGCTATATATGTATAATACACATTATATGTAATACCCATATATAGTATGTTATATATAATACATATATTCAGTGGCTATATATATATTAAAGTTTCCTCAATATTCCAGCTTTCAGGGACTGTGACCAGCATGTAAACACATGCGCAGGACCCTCGCACGTCCCTGTCTCCGTACAGAATGTCTCTTTGTCCTTAGAGCCAGCCTAGCTGCCCCGTGACTCGTCTCAGCCCCGCTTTGGTTAGAATTGCTATTACCTTCTCAGTTTGCCCGTGGATGCAGCTGGAAGACTCGGGCTTCCCCCAGGGTAAATCCACTTTAGGAGTTGACATGCTGGCAACAGCACTTTGAAATGACCACGTGAGGGGGGCACCCTGTGGAGCCATGGAGATGGAACTCATCGTTCAGTCATCACCCGAAATTGGTTCATGTCTTCTCAAGAGCAGTCTCCAGGGGAGACAGAGGTGCTCTTCGGTTCTGCCGGGGCGGGGTGCAGAGGCAGAGACAGCTTGGCTGGGACACCTTCCCTTCCGGTACCAGTAGGTGAACTGCAGACACGTAAGTGGCCCTGAAAAAAAATCTGTAACTTACGAGTTTTCTTTTTCCCCCCGTCTGGCCAGGAATTGGACATCATTTCTGCAGAACTTGGAGAAAAATGTGAAGCCATAGGCCAGAAATTACTATACTTGGAGGACCAGCTTCACGTGGCGATCCAGAACCACGACGAAGACCTCATGCATATCCTTTCCACCTCGCAGTCAACATCTGCCAGGTTCTTTGTAAAACCAAGTCTTAAAAAATACGTGGTGGCTCTGTGCCTCAGCACGTGGAAGCAGGTTGGTGCTGCGGGCATCTCTAATTCAGCACACTGAGGATGGCTGTGGCTGTATAGTCCCTAACATTTTCTCTCGTTTTTGGTAGGTAACACAGCATTTTTGATTATGAAACCTATTAAAAATCAGCCACGGTTCCACATGCTCACCGTGAGACCCGAGCAGACCGCAGTATCAAGGGGATGCTCCGGGTTTGTGGGGCTCAGAAGGTTGTAGGTTCTGACTGGCTCGGTTTTCCAGGGGCCTTTTCAATGCTCAGAAACCCAAATCCGCGTTTGGTTTTGTGAACCATGTAATTCTGCTGTGTGACAGGCAGCAGAGGATGACACCTACCAGGACTCCGTGCGCGATTTCTTCCTGCACGGGATTCAGTGTGAGGACGCGTGGCTTAGCTGTGCACCCGTGTGGAGCAGCAGCGAGCCGCAGGGCCATCTGCAGGTGCTGTTGTCCGTCCTGTCGCTGGTCGCTTCCTTTGAGGGCAGATGGAAGGTGCACTGGTGGACGAAGGGACAGGCAGCCTCATTCTGTATCTTTTCAGTTATTTATTTAGTTCGGGGTTGACACTGCAGATAAAAACACCCCTCTGTTCCCGCACCCTTGTTATTCAGTAGTGTGCCTCTTAGGAGATACATCTGTGGGAAGTGTCACTGCTCATCTCACTCTTCAGAATTCCAGTTCTTACCGTGCCTGATTTTGGGTGCCTGTGTGTGTGTGTGTGTGTGTAAGTGGCCTTGGATGGTCAAGGATTAGTCTTATTTGTGAGTATTAAGACCCACAGTTTAATGATGGAGTGATCCAACGCCGTTTCCTTCCTCATCATAACCTTACATCTTTGACCTTGCTTATTAAACCTAGCAGGAAGTTCCTTCAACTTAGTCGGCTGTCGTGTTCACATTGTTAAAGGTAGATTTTAAAAGTAGACCCTGTTCTTCATGATCTCCCACCTCTTCTACAACTGGCATTCAAGCTATTAGGAAGTTGACCGAGAAGCAGTAGAAGGATTTTTGTTGTGCATGGAACACACAGATTTGAACACTTATGGGGGGCGTGCCTGTGGGGCCACACATCTGGGAGCCGCCCGTGCGGAAGGCCACTGCAGGCGGAGGGCTTCCCGGTGGGGCTTGGCTCAGCGGGACGTCCCTCAGGCCGGAGAGGGAGTCAGGTAGCAGTTCCGAGACCCACAGCCCGGGCCTGTCGGTCTCTTGTTTAGAAATTTTCTAGACATTGAGCCTGGCCCAAGGCACTGGGTTTTCTCCGTAATAGGGTCGGGTGTCAGGGAGGAGCCTGGGAGGGGACAGAGCTGTGTGTCAACAAGGTCCCTTTGGTTTTCCCATGGCCCATCCAGTCCGGATTCAGGGGCAGGAGGATCACGGACAGCTTACATGCCTCTTTGTTCATCAGCTTCCTCATCGGTTACATCGGGTAGTAACAGGGACCTCCAGGGTCTTCAGGGGGGCTAAGTTCAGGAAGGATGTGTAACACAGTCCCTACACGTGCTGGTTTAGGTCGACTACTCCAATCTCCAAGTCCGTTTGCCTCACTGTTCTCAGCATTGACGTCACAAACTCAAACCACATCCCACAAGAGGTTTCAAGATGAGTCGATTCAACTATTTTGTAAAAATGCTTAAAGGAATCGATCAGTAACCACACAATGACTTGCGCGAAAAGCCACTTAATTCTAATAAACTGCTGTAGACAGATGGGCATCTTTATCCCTGCTGGGTCATGGAGAAAGCCGAGGCTTAGAAATGGTGTGGCTAGTCCAAGATCATTTCCAACCAGGGGCAGAATCCAGCAGCCAAAAGCCCTGTGGTCCTACTTAAAGCATCAGGACACAGCTGGGCCTGTAAGTACAGGGACAGGCCCACTCTGGGGGGCACAGAGTTACTATAAAACTTCAAAGCTACAATAAAAAGTATTTAATGAAGTCATGTCTTTTGAGACTTTTGCTGATCCTCACTGAGATAACTGGGGACATTCCGGGGCCACGTCAGACCAGGGTAAGAAGCACTGGTTTAGATACTGAAGTCAACCCCTCCCCCCTGAAATAAAACACACCACAGACGGACTTCACCCCCCACCCTTCTCCAAAGCCCGTATGTGTTCCGTGCCACCAATGGAGAGTAAATACAAGGCAGGTGACTTTGAACTCACAGAAAGTGACACTCGGTTTGAGTGGAGTGTGGTGCCGTAGGGCAGGTATTTATGAGACTCTGCAGAGGCAGGCCTTGCTCAAGTGAGAACCTTTCTAGAGAGCAGGAGGGGCTGCTGGTGTCCTCCAGACAAACTCCAGTGGGTCCGTGTTTCCTTCTGTCGCCGGAGACACAAAGCTGAGTGCGCCTGAAGGACCCGCTCGCCAGGGACGAGAAGTAACTGCGTGGTGGGGCCCGTGTTTCTCCCTGATTCTGTTGAGCACCCTGTCAGATCCTCCGGCGCATTTGATGAGGCTTGGACACGATCAATGCAAGTGCGCGTCCAGAAGGTTCTAGCCGGGACACTAGGATGCCCTTGTTGCTGCCTCTGCATACACTGTGTGCATGGGAAAGCACTGTCCGGTGTGCCCACAGAGTGGGTCTGGGTGTCAGCAGCGGGGGTACTTTCCCCGCAGACCTCCTGGGCACCCCGACTTCAGAGTGGGGCTCGGGCAGCCTGCTGGGAGCACCCAGCTCTCAGGAAGAAGATGGATCTGAGGAGGGGAACAGGCCACGTCTGTTCGTCATCCTGACAGGCTCCCTAAATCACAGGCTGCCCGGCAGAGGAGCAGCACCGACCCATCAGCCATGGCGGCAGTGAGTGTCTGAGAGTCTGCACCGTTCATCGGCACGCTGGCGTCAGAGAGGCGACTCACGCCTGGAGTTTGAGGGCAGGCCCAGGAGGCGTGACAGTCAAGCCCGATTTCCGAGAGCCTCAGGCTGAGAGTCTAGAACAATTTCACAGTCTCCTGGGGTCCTAACAAGCAGTTAGGTTTTGAAAAACGTTTCAAGTGTCCGTGATGGCTGCTCCGCGTTCCCATCGCTTTGACTGGCGCCATGTAGGTTCGGTGCATTTGGAAGCGGGGGTTTTCCCTCCCTTTTTCTTCTGTCGCCCCGACAGCCCACTGTGAAAGGAACAACGTACGCCTAGGGTTGGGCCACTTCTGGAATATTCCGCGGCCCTCCAGGCAGTTCCGCCTGCCTCTGAACCAGGAGAGGGATGTCCCGATTCTATCTGCAGCCTCACTCGCAGCCCTGTCCCGAGAGCCTCCTGCAGGTCTGTTCTCTCCACGTACTTGGAATGCGCGGCACCCAATCGATTCGCTTCGGTGGCACTTGATGGCACTGGAGCACTGGGAATACCTCCAGGAGCTGGTACTGACATCGCACCCCCGAGCATCCGTGTTTGGTCCAGCGTTCCAATTTGTAGCTCGACAGGACAAAGGTAACAGTCTGGGACAGTGGCCTTGACTCCTGGAGAACTTCTGCTTCACGAGCTAAGAGCTGAAGGGGGATCATGAGGATCATGGGTCCCCACCTCAAAGTTTATAGGTCAGAAAACCGAGACCCTGGAGGTTGCTGTTTAAGGCGTTGTGTGTGCTGGGCTGACACAGATCTGGTGGCCACGGCCCTTTGGTTTGGCTGCCACCAGTGGGAGTGGCGGAGAGGAGGAAGCCTGGGTGAGGGCGTGGACATGCAGTGGGCACCAGGCAGGCATCGCCAGCCCGGTACAGAATTGGGGGTGTGGTGGGGGCAAGCTTCCCTCTTCGCTCTCCAGCAGCTGTTCCGCACCTTTGGTTTTCCGTGACGGTGAATGTCCCAGGACTGTCAGCCCCTGTGGCTGCTGATGTGAAGAGGTAATTTACCCAATGAGAAGCAGTTTTGAAAGACACCCTGTTATTTCTTTTTGAACTGAAGGGTCTCAAGTGAACTTAAGACCTCCTTCTGACTCACCTGCTGAAACAATCGCGTGCACACCCGACTCAAAGTACAACACTCAGTTGTTTTCACGTATAAACAAAAGACCCCTCTGAAGGGCTTGGAGGATCTCTGCAGACGGCCACCCTAGATGACGGCATCGCCTGACCGCCGCATTCCTGGGCGATCCCGGTGAGACGTGCTTTGCTGTCTTACCCCTTCACTGATTACAAACACAGTTGGCGCAAGTTCACTATCAAGAGGTTACACATTTGCTTAATATGCGTGCAGTCTGTCCTCTATGGGTGAAGAATGCTCTTGGGTTCCAAAGGGGTTTTAAAGATGTTGGCACGTCAGTCCTTGTGCCATTATTAAAACAAATGTGTCATTTTTCTTAGATGCCACTGATCTCTGGTGGAATGTGTGTTGCAGGGAGCTTTGGACTCAGCTACAGGATCTCTACGGCACAGGCTTTCTCGGACTCAGTGAGATCCTAGGTGGACTTAGATGCAGTGGGTACCCCTGGCACTCCAGTGTGGAGTTACTGTGTTTGCTCAGCTCTTGGACAAAAGTCAAGGTCAAATATGTCAAGAGCCTGCAACCATGAGCTTATCGGAATAGCAATGAGAAAATCTGGTTCTAATCCTGCTCTACTACTTAGTAGGCTTAGATTTTGGTAAATCGTATCGAATGAGACGCAGTGAGAAAATGTTAGGAACGTATTTTTAAAAATGCATCTTCAGCGTAACCCGCGGGTGCCTTTCTGCAGCCTGGGTCTCCCCCCGGCCTCCGTTTCCTGTCTTCTTCCCACTCCGCATCTCCACTGGGCTGGCAGACGGGCTTTTCCAGCTTGACACGTCCAAAGTCAGATTCCTCCCCACACTCACAAAACCCCAGCTCGTTCCCAGCCTTCTCCGTCTCAGAGAATTGCAAGTGTGTCTTTCCGGTTCGTTGCTTAGGTTAAAATCTGGGAGTCGTTCTCCCTGCATTTCCCCCTCTCACAGTGTGTATCTGGTCTGTCGCCCTGGGCTGTTGGCTTTGTCTTCAAACCACCCGGAGTCCGACCGCCTCTCATCGCCAGCTCTGCCGCCGCCTGGCTCCAGACCGTGAGCTTTTCCTGTCTGCATTATTACTGCTTCACCCCTCGTCTGCACACCTCTGCCGTGGCCCCTTCATCTCTTACGCACGAGAGCGGCCAGTGTGCTCATGTCCACACTGCTCCCACCCCCCCACCTAGTACGTGCTCACATGTGTGTCTTGGGCTCTGCTCACTGTCACCAGAGCTCCATGAGGTCAGGGACCTTGTGACCCCCGCACTTCCCACGTCCAGGTCTCAGCACACAGTGGGAGCTCGGGAAATGTTTGAATACTTGAAGGAGTGCAGGGAAGAACGAGGAGACCTATGCTTTCATCTCCCCAACTGCTTATGGCGAAATGTTCCCAGTGGTTTCTTTTAGAACCGCATTGACCCAAACACGAAAGGATGCGTGTCCATGGCCAGCGTGACCGAGGCAGGAAGAAGGGCCGCGGCGTCCCCCTCCAGGCCCAGTGTCTGCAGGCTTCACCGCCGTGTCTCTCCAGCGCACCGTTCTGGCTACAGACAGCTGACATCTCTCTCTCTGGCAACATTAGGGTCCTTTCCTGCAAATTGTTCTGCAACTCCCCCATTTCACATTTTATCCTGTCTTCTCTTCTATGACAGTATATTCAAACTGTTTTCAAAATACAGGCAGGTTGGTTCTTTTACTTATTTTGATGATTATTACCCCACGGGTTCTCTAAAGGAGGCTTCCAGGAGTTCTGACGCCCAGCCCTGGGGAGAGCTGTAGGGTTTGCTGATCTGCTGTATTAGTAAACTAACCTTCAATCTTTTGTGGTACTCACAAGCAAAAAATACTTTGACCAAGGTACAAGACTGTGCAGTGTCACAAGTGGGACTCTGAGAGTGACAAGTGGGTGGCCAGCTTCACAGAGCAGGCGGTCGTGCCCTGGCACCGTCACCTTTGAGCTCCCGGGGACGGGACCAGGGGGTCTTGTGTGAGGGGCACTGACATTTTAGTTGTAGGACTTAGTCCCCTTCTTTTGTGGCTTCTCACTTTAAAAACCCTTCCCTGTGTTCCGCCTGAGCCGGAGTTCCACGACCTCTTTAAGAAGCATCACATTTGAGTTCTGATTCTCTCTCAAAACCTTTGTCATCATTCAGCATATTACGGATAGGAGCGTGCAGTCCCTGGGCGCACGTCAGTGGTCATTAACTCTGAGGCGTTTGTCAGGATTCGTGAACGGCCCAAGCTCTGTGCGTGCTCTTCATAAACGTAGTGTAACTTTGTGATTAAAGTGCAGCTTGGTGTTCGGTCGGGGACCACTTAGGCTTCTGCCTGTGCAAAGTCCTCTGTGTTTTCACTAAAGAGCAGCAGAGCTGTCCCGAGGAACAGAGGAGAACGAAGCTGGTAAAAAACATCAGATTCTTTCTTCCTTGCACCCGCTTCACATTACCGTCCTTCCCCTCAAGTTCAGGTGCAAGGAGTGAGCCCTGGTAGTAAATGTATGTAAATTACGCAAATGAGGAAGTCTGGTGAAGCTCCAGGAGGATGAAAAGCTGCCAAAAGCTTTTCAGGGTGGTTCAGCATTTTTGCTTAAGAGAGGGTCATTTGCATAATACCCAGGATCCTCTGGTGGTTCTTTCTTTTTCTTTTTTTTAAAGAGAAACCTTTGTACACCCTAACGTGAGGTTGTCTTTTTCTCTTGACATTGCACTGACATTGTCCTTAAATAGAAGAACATTGTAGCCTAGACTGGGAGAAGTGGGATCTCTGCAGGCTCCGCTCCCCAAAGCTTTGTTTTCTCTGTATCCGATCTGGCAGCCTTCAAGTGGTCTGAGCCCGTGAGATGACTGAGAGGTGTTTAAATGGTGGCAAGATACCTCTCTGTTTCCCCTCCGCTCCTAGGGGATGCAGTTCGGTTAGTGTGCTTGGTACAGGAACAGAACTCAGCCCCTCTCTCACGCTGCGTTTGCGTTGTTCCGACTTCCAGGTTAGAGCAGGCAACAGGGACGAGCAGAGGGTCCGGTGGGACAGGCAGAGAAGCCGCCCCTGGTGACTGCTCCGCAGCTCAAACGCCCGGCAGACAGCCCACTTCCTGAGGGAGGAGCAGCCTCATTTTCCCCACACGGCCCTTTGCTGAGCTCCCTGTGACTGTTCCCTCCGCCTGGGCAGCAACTCCCCGGGTGAGGGGACTGAGACCCCAGCAGTTTAAGGGGGACAGACTGGCCCAGAAGAGGCAGGCTCCCTGCACTCTGTCAAATCTCGAGTCCCCGAAGGGCTAGTTGACAAGTACCTGTGAGTTTAATAACGTGTGGCAGCCGATTAGAAGCTACAGGGGTTTCAAAGTCATTGTTTCCTGAGAAAACTGAGGTTCAGAGTTATTTACACAGGCCCCGTGTAATAATGTGTGTGTTGGCTGATGGCCAACGGCGACCGTAACTCACGACTTGGAGCCTGGACCTGTGGGGGCCCCAATACCTGGGTTTATCGGGGAGACTCTGGTCCCCAGCCTCCGGCCTCTGTGCTGCCAGAGCTCGTGGCCGTGACGGTGGCCCCGCCCCAGCTAGGGGCTCGGCGGGAATCACTGTCCCACAGGCCGGATCTCTAGAAGCATCCCAGGTGGCCCCGGTCTCGGTCTGAGAGCTGACTCTTCCATCTCCTTTTTGAAACCTCACTTGAGATATAACCGCAGGCCTTGTAGAAATTGCAATAACTCTTCAAGGAAGTGTGAAATGCATGTTAATATTTAATTCCTACGATTGGGAAGAACCTGAAGCTGCAATTCGATGGCAGTGCCCTTCTGCTTCCAGCTGGCACGCGTGCCCCCTTGAGGCCCCCCACCCCCGGGGGCTGCAGAGGGTCACCCGCTGTCACCTTCCGCGTGTCCCTTAACGAGGCGCACAGTGTCTCAGGAGGGAGCTGCAGATGGTGAAGGGGACTCTGCAGGCCATGATCCTGCAGCTCCAGCCGGCGATGGAGGCCGGAGAGAGAGAGGCATCGGCTTTCTGTGCCACAGCTGGTGTCTGGGACGCACTGGCTTGAGGCGTGCGGGGCAGCGGAAGCAGGTGAGTGACCCCGTCTCCCCTACGGACGCTCAGGAGCCGCTCTCGCCTCCCCGCCTCACCCACGTGCCTGGGCCAGTGACAGGGCCACGGGGCCACGAGGTCTCCGAGCACGAGGATGGCCCAGCCCGTGCTCCTGGGGCTGAGAGGGGCCCACAGGGGAAGGTGCCGGGTGGTGAAGACCAGTGGCCTGATTTCCATCCACATGTCACTCAGAGGTACCTTTACTGTGTCGACAATGGGAGCACCCAGACAGGACTTGAAAATATTTTCACCTCAGCCCCCTTTAGACAGAAATTGGGGTGAATTCTCCTGGAAAAGCGTCTCTTTTCCTGCACGATCTTGCTTTCTGCAGCAATTAAAATGTCTCCTGATAACCACCTATAGAATGGAAACCAGACAGCGATTTGGCTCCCGCCTGCCTGTGCCGCTGTCCTCCAGGTGCGTTACCCAAGGTGCTAATGAACCCCAGCACTGGCGGCCACAGCTTCCCCTGCGATTCACCGCCATCGCAAACTCACACCAAAAGTTCCACGAGGTGCCTTTCGGGCACCAGCCCGTCTGTCAGGGGTACGGTGTTGCTGTGTTCCGTGTGGCAGACCTGTCCCCTGGCAGACCATCGGGGCCTTCGGAAATGCTCCCACGGTGTGCGCAGGAAGGGAGCACGGGGCGGGAGTGGCTGAGGCAAGGAGCGGACTTTTGAGTCCCTGCCTCCCTCCCTCCCTTCCTTCCTCCTGAACCTGTTTCACACAGTGTCGGATGGGACATTTGTGTAGAACCTTCAGTGCAGTGCAGTGCTCAGTAAGACAAGACAGTGCTTGGCTAGGCAGTGTGGCACTCACTGAGACAGGGTAGTACTCACCGAGACAGTGCAGTACTCAGTTAACAGTACAGTACTCACTGAGAGTGCAGTACTCAGTTAACAGTACTCACTGGGATAGGGTAGTACTCAGTTAACAGTACAGTACTCACTGAGACAGTGCAATACTCAGTTAACAGTACAGTACTCACTGAGACAGGGTAGTACTCACCGAGAGTGCAGTACTCAGTTAACAGTACAGTACTCACTGAGACAGGGTAGTACTCACTGAGACAGTGCAGTACTCAGTTAACAGTACAGTACTCACTGAGACAGGGTAGTACTCAGTTAACAATACAGTACTCACTGAGACAGGGTAGTACTCACTGAGACAGTGCAGTACTCAGTTAACAGTACAGTGCTCACTGAGAAAGGGTAGTCCTCACAGAGTAGTACTCAGTTAACAGTACAGTACTCAGTGAGACAGGGTAGTACTCAGTTAATAATACAGTACTCACTGAGACAGGGTAGTACTCACTGAGACAGTGGGTTCTCACTGGGACAGTACAACACTCACTAAGGCAGTGCAGTGCTCAGTTAGGGGGCATTAGAGCCCCTCCCTGCCGAGGCAGCCGTGAAGCAGGCTGAGTCTGGTTCAGCAGCAACCCCCACGGTGCACAGGGTGTTGGGGGGGAGGTGGACTCCCAGACATGCTGCATGAACAGGAGGTCCTCACTGGTCGAGGACATTTGGGAAACACCCGGGTCGTAATTTCTGCCTGGAGAGCCAGAGCACATGGGGCACTGGTCCACGGGGGGCCTTTGGAAAAAGACCCCGTGATTTTTGTCTGACTCCACACTTCCTGAGTTTGATGGATCATAGAATTTTTTTCCTTTTAACCCTAGTAGCCCACCGAGCTCGCGCTGTGCAGCACTGTCCACAGGGCACGGCCAAGTGCTGATTTACATCCTGAGCATGTGTGTGTGTATGTCTTCGAGCCCAGACTCCGATTCCCGCAGAGCAGTGACTTTCTGTACGTGACACGTTTCAGGGGTCATTGATCCTTTGTCTTCCAAACTCTTCTGTTCTTCCGCCTACAAGATTCGTGATGCTCCTGCCTTCACAAGGATGCGTGGACGCGAGGCAGGTTTTGTCATTTCCTGCTGTCACGCTCTCGTTTCCAGAAGGCAGCTGGCGCTTTGCTAGCCTCCCGCGCGGCGCCCACTCTGCCCCCCGTCAGGAGTCGCCCTGCGGAAGCTGGTGCTTGGCCAGTCTCCAGGGAACGAAGCAAAGCAGCCTCTGAATTCACTGATTGTGTTTCCCACAGCCTTTTCCTGAGCATTTTTGATAATACACGTTTTAATAATAAGCAAAATTAACTTGTCTCAGGAATTCTTGGTTTTCAGTGATGAACCAAATTCCTGAGTTACTTACAATGACATCTAAAAATGACCAGTTACTAGTCACATGGCATTCAGAATCCTTGAACCCTTGAATTAATTTCAGGGAACAGAATTTAAGAGAGTTGGGACTGACCATAGTGCCAGTATCGAATCCTTCCTTTGCCACATGTCATTTTAAAAGACTCCCAGACACAAGACGTCTTTCAAGTCACTAACTCAGGTGTTTTGCATCACTCAAAACTATTGCGGGTATTCCGTGAGGTCACGCTGTGCTGGAGAGCTCCGCAGGCTAATGGCTGCTTGGAGTTGGGCCCCAAATAAGGGCTCTCCCGCCCACCCCCACCCCTAGGGGGCGGTGTGTTCTCTTCCTGGCTGAGATGTCCGACCACGGTTAAGCGAGGCAGGTGAGTGCCGCTCCCACCGGTTGTTGCAACTTCTCTGCCGTCTGCCGGTCTGGAGGCAGCCAGGAAGCCAGCCAAGCCCAGGGAGCTTCCTCTGGCCGCACGGCCTTCTCAGGACAAGCCCCCTCTCTTCGGCCACTGTGGCCCTGGAAGACCTGGGCCTGGGTATCCCAACCCATAACACAGGGGAGTTTTTGCCAGGAAAACATAAACAGAAATGAATGCTTGGATTTAAAAGCAACAAGACAAGAACAACAAAAATGTAAGCTTTTGTAGAGACAGCCAAGACCATGAGTGAAAGAGCAGACTGAGAATGATGAGTTTAGAGTCTGGTCTCTCTGCGATGACACGGTGTGACGATGAACAGTGTATTCCGCTGTGTACCAGTGAGATGCGGGCGTTTCAACGGCTGCCTAAGTACCTTGCCCCAGCCTGGGTTGGGGCACCTCCCCAGTCAGCACCAATCCCAGTTCCTGCGAACTTCTTGAAACCGGATGTGGTTCAGTGAGTTGGGCATTATCCGCAAACCGAAAGGTTGACAGTTCAATGCCCAGACAGGGCACATGCTCGGGGGGGCCCCCAACTGGGGGCCTGCAAGAGGCAACCAATGGAAGTTTCTCTCCCACATCCATGTTTCTCTCACTCTCCTGGCTCCCTCCCTTCCCCTTTCTCTAAAGATGAGTGAAATCTTAAAAAAAAAAGATGAAAATGATCTTTTCCCAAACTGAACAGGTGTGTAAGATGGGGAACGTCCCTTCCTGTGCAGCTGGCCTGGTCTCCCCACCCCGTGGGAACATGTTGGGGCTCACCGGTCTGCACTGGGGTTGTCCTGAGCCCTTGATAATCGGTGTCCCCTTCAATTCTCATGTCAGCCTTAGGAGGTGGGTGCTGGAGGTGATGGTGCTGAGCCTTGGGAGGCCAATGGACTTCCTCCAGGACGCAGAGCTGGTCGGCAGCTGAGCGAGAGGGACAGAGACAGCGGGGCGCTCCCAGCTGGTGCTCTTCGTGAGGTGCCCTCGGTGTCGTTTTGGGACCTCGAGCCGTGGAGCTTTGTTCATGTCTGAACGCATGGGCACCCTGGGACCCTTCCTCGAGAGCCGGAGAAGCTGAGCCCAGGAATCCTTGGCTTCCCACCCCCAGGTGGGCCCTGCTCTTCTGCGGCTGTGAAGTCTCGGCTCGGACAGGCTTCCACACATCTACCCACCGTCACCGTCCCCACCAGCCGTTCATTCTGCATCAGCTGCAGAAGCCATGCCAGCAGCAGCCACTGCCGCCTGACCCTGGATGTCCTTGAAAATCCCCGTCCTCCTGGTGGTCAGAAAGCCATAAGAAAGCAGCCCTGTGCTCCTCGGCCCATGTGGGGTCTTGGAAAGACAACTAAATGCTTTGATTTTGAACATCCTTGCCTTTCCTAATCTTTGGTTTTTTGTCCTGTAATTTATTGCTTCATGCAGTTGACTTTCTCTTACATGAAATCCAAACTGATACCCACATCAGGGTGCACCTTTGACTCTTTTTTGTCTTCGGGAGGATAACAGAAAAAGCTTGTCAGGGTCATTCATTGCATCCTTTTGTGTAATTGCACAGTAACTTATGTTGCACAGAACATCTCTAATAAAGCGATGCTTTGCAGTGGAGTATGTTTACTTTCAGGTACCAACCAATCAGAAAATACCGTAGTTTTCCAGACCGCTTGATTGAGGAAATTGAAGATAACATTACCAGTTATGTGGGAAAAAGCCAAGCCCAAAATGCCCACAAACGCCACTGGAAATATTCTGCTAGAGATACTGGCTAACTCAGGCAAGAAAAATAAATGATGGTTACAATTTGGGAAGGAGGAGATACATTAATATTTACAGGTGATGTTAACTGTAGGCTAGAAAAACCTAAGAGAATTAATAGAATGTCTTTATACAAGTAACACAATTAGTGAAAGGAATGAACAGGTTTTATATACACAAAAAATAACCAGAAGATAATATATAAGAAAAGAGTCTATTTTAAATAACAGAAATAAAGAACAAACAACTAGAAGTAAAATTTAATGTAAAATGTAGACGTTTTAGATGAAGAATATTGTAAGGTAAAGGACACAGAGAAGAGTTTAATAACTAGAAGGACGTTAGATGTTCAGATAGTAATTCATCATTGATCGTCAAGTCTCTGTAAACTGGTTTATAAATACGACCTGATCCCACTGAGTCGCAGGTATCTAGATATGCCCAATAACCTTCCTCGGCTTCACTCCTCTGGCAGTTCCTCATGTAGGTACATGAACTACGCATGTGCAGAATTGCAGGTGTGTATCATTCCATTAAATTGATTAAACGAGGCTGAGTGCTCGGGAGGCAGACGTGAGCAAAGCAAAACATGAGCCTAAAAATGTCTTCAGGGACATGAAATTGAATCCCGAGGACAACCAATCACAAACAGTCAACCGGGCTTAGAGCCGCAACCAACCAATCATTTCCTCGCTCTCTGCGTTTTCTTTGTTAGAGTCTCTCCCCAGCTCCTGTCACTGGGCTGCTCCCCACCACTTGCAGCTTGATGCTGCCCCGTTTGAACTGCCCCGGATGACCTCAGTATGCCTCAGTTTACTCTTTGACAGTACCATGGTTTGCAAGAGCAAAATGGGAACCCACCAAAATGTTCGCCAAGAGCAGGCTGTTGGGACACCTTTACACTACACGGCGCTTCGAAGTTGCTGAAACCGCCTTTCTCTGCTCCTGGGCCTGTGCCTGCCGAGACAGGACTGGAAAGGGACCCGGGTGGCCAAGGGGAAGGGGACGGCCAGGACGCTCACTTTTTCTGTACTCACTGCCTCTTAAAAATTTGGTATCAAGTACTGCTATTTACTTATTCAGAAAATAACAGGAATGAACTTCTTAAGCAAAAGCGTGGTGCTGGGCTCACAGGGTCCTGACCAGCTGTGATGCGTGATGATCAAATGATTCGAAGGAAAGTCATTGCCATTGTTATTGTAACTATTACCATTTCAAAGGTATTTCTTAAACGACTGTGTCTGGTGGTTTAGTACCAAAACCTGAGCCCTCCCTGGGGCCCCGGTCCCTTCCCCGGTGTGGGTGTTGGATGCAGTCTCCTTCCTTCGGACACCAGGACCAAGAGCCCCCTGGGTTGGCTGCGTGGGCAGAGTGGGGAAATGGAGTCACGTCTGTCTCTCCTTGTCCCTTAGGGGCTGCCTACGCCACCTGCCATTTATTCAATGAAGTGTGCTTTTAAGTGTACGCGTCGCACACATTTTCACACTGTGGACGGGGTTGTGACGGGCAGCAGTGGGAAGGGCAATGGGGAAGCGGCTTCACCTCCCTTGTTACAGTGGCAACGAGGGAAAGAACTTCTTGTTGTTTCTGCCCCCTTTTCAAGAGTTTCAAAAGTGCACGTTTGACGCAAGGCTCCCGTCCATCGACAGACACCTTCCCTCCCCACAGTCTCTTCATTCATTCGCCCAAGAAACATTGACTATGCACGTCCTCCTATAAAAATTGCTCTTCCTATAAATGGATGAATTTATGAGCAGAGAGGTTAAAAATCGTAGTGAAAGTTATCTGGCAAGTAATGAAAATGATAAATTATTAGACTACATACACACACAGACACTCCCACGCACACACAGGTAGATACACACAGACCCACAGCAGCAGCTCGGCTCATGTTGACCAATCGTTACTTATTATTCTGTGTTTCCTGTAATTACAGGAATTAATTACAAATTAATTTCCTGTATGATTTGCATTTGGAAGAACAACGTGTAAAAGAAACTTTATGAAAAGATCTTAATTCTTCCCGTCTTGGATCATGCAACACCATACACTACAGCCTGCATGTCTCATTCTGCTATTTAGGTTTAATGTTATTTTCCCCTTTGCAATGTAATCATCATGGTCATTGTATTTATTGCCGCATAATATTTACTCTATCAAATTGGCCTCCCGTAACGTCGATACTCCTCTATAATTGGGCGTTAAACCTGTCCAATGTTTTGCTGTTACAGATAAATCTGCTATGACTCCTTTGCGCATCAGCTTTTCCTTTGAATTACGTGCCCAGGAGGAATTCCCAGGAGTGGGGACACCAGAACGAAAGACAGGACACAGTGCCACACTTGCACTGGGGCGAGGATGGGGGTTGATAACCAGCCCGTTCCCTGGTGGGGGGAGTTCCCCACCGAGCACTGAGCAGCCGATGGATCACGTGGTGTTCTCCTCGTGGTGAACGTAGCCGCAGTAACCGCATCAGGCAAGCCACGGTGGTGCAGTTCCGCCATTCGAAATGAGCAGTGAAAGCCTGTGCCTTTCTGGTCTGTGGAGGAGCTCGAAGAAGTCAATGTGCATGAAAGGCTTCTGAAAAACAAAGCAACATATACAGGCATTTAAAAATTAGGAAACCTGTCCTGGCTGCTGTAGCTCAGTGGATTGAGTGAGGGTCTGCAAACCAGGGGGTCACTGGTTTGATTCCCGGTCAGGACGCAGGCCTGGGCTGCAGGCCAGGTCCCCGGTTGGGGGCACTTGAGGGGCAACCACACATTGATGTTTCTCTCCCTCTCTTTCTCTTTCCCTTCCCCTCTCTCTAATAAATAAAATCTTATCACTGCCTGTTTAAAAAATAAAATAAAATGAAAATGAGGGAACTAGGATCGGGAGAATAGGGAGTGAAGAGAATCAATCTGAGGGAGAAAGGAACCCAATCAGGACCGCTGCGCCTTCCCAAAGCGGCCAACTCCTGGGAGGTACTTGACGGTGGTGGTGGTTAGTGTATAAAAAAGAAGTGTTTCCAACTTGTGGCTCAGCCCACTCTCTTCCCCCAGTGTCCGTGGTGGTCTCAGACACGCAGGGGAACAGGAAGGCCGGAAGTAGAAAGTACTTTAGAGAACTTGTGTTTCATCCGCTCAGCCAGTATAGCCAAAGGGTAAACACCCATAAACACCCACAGGTTGTCTGCCGCATCCTCCCCAAGTGCAGAGCTGACCATTGGCCAGACCAGGCCCTGCGTGTCGGTGCCCCGCCCCTTTCACAGCCTCACCCCCTAGATCTCAGACCCATGTGGGTCGCCCCCAGATTTTGGTCTCCTTCCCGAAGGTGCAGGTCAACATTTTTTAGTCCAATTCTATTGGACATACACCACTGTAAAGTGAAGGTGTGCATGTTAACCGGGAAGATTTGTACGGTGTCATGTGGGGCATACACAGTATGTCCCGGCAGAGCCCCTCGGTGCCTGTCCCCTTGGTTTGCCATTGTCTTTCACCTCCATCCAACTTCAGTGACCTCGTTTCCTAATTGTTACCAATGCTCCCCACCTTGGAGCTTTTATGGTTTAATTCTCCGCCCTTCTCCCCCAACACGCACTCACCTATTTGCATTTCCTGTCTAGAGGAGAAAGAACAGAGACGCTTCCTGATCACTCGAGAGCTCCAGGAGTTCATCCTGGAGCTTCTGAAGCACCCTCTTCATTTACATACATGGAGGCCAGGCTGGGAAGGGGCTCTCTGGGCATCATCTCTGAGTTCAGTGGGGGATCCAGGTCCCCCCACCCCGCATCTGGAACAGCCACAGGGCAGGGGAGCTGGGCACAGAGACTTCTCTGCTTCCCTGGGAGCCTTCAGTAAATAAAAAAACACAGCCACCGTCTTTCGTCATAGAAATGGGAGCGTCTGGTGCTCCGTGTCGGCTCAGAGAGCTCCATTCATTACAACTGGGATGAGTACGAACTCGCTGACAGAGGAACATGAGCAGAGCTGGAGAGGTGGGGCCAAAGACGCTCGTGGAGGTATCAGGGGACGTTTAGAAAATGAAGATGCTAATAAAGCAAAGCATTCTTACCAAACATAGGAGATAGTAAGAAAGTAATCACAAGGCCAGAAGGAGGCAAATGGAACTGCAAGGGAACTTGGTAAAGGCCTCTGGGTGTCCCCTGCTAGGAAAGTCCCAAGTCTGGACCTGTGACGGACAGATGTGCCCCGCTGTCTCCGCGGCGGGGAGGCTTCACAGCTAGTCCACGGAGTCACAATGACGTTCCCGAGTACCTGTCGTGTTTATGTCTCACTGGCAAGCAGTAGGTTGTAGGGTAGGCAGGGGGAGGCGTTGGGCCTGGTTCCTGCCTGCAGATTCCGAGCTGTGCTAGAAGCCCAGGGTAGATTCTGAAGATGGGCAAGCTGGTGTAAGGATTGGCCTAAAGCAAGTGCCCTTGGGCACTAAGCGGAAGCATCCTCGGGTCGATTGGAAGTGACTCAGGTGGGGCGGAAGGGGGCTACTCTCAGTCACTAACTTGCGTTCCCACCCCAGCCCAGCCCACACCCATCTCCCTTTCTCTCTCTTGCTAAACCTCTTTGCTGTTAAATTATCTGTTCATTTATGATAGTTATGGCTAATGTGAAGTCAGAGCCACCAAGAAGATTGCTACAGCCTCTCCCAACCCTCCTGGTTTTTATTTTTCACTTTGTTGTGCTACCGAGAGAATACGGTTCTCTCCACTGTGATGACGTTCCCCCGTCACAGGGCCCCTCTCTCTGGCAGAGGAAGTAAAGGATTTTCTTGAACTACTGAAAGACTTCCCAAATCAGGAAAAGCATTTTTCACGGCAAGCAGAATGAAAGCTTTTACTCCCCAGACATTTCCTG